CTGGTGGAATCGAGGGGTCTCGGCTTTCTCTGCCCGGACAAGCTCCCAGCTTGCGAGGCTGGGACGGGGCGGCTGAGCCCGGGCGCAGGTCACGGAGGCTCTCACTCTGGGGCAGCGGGGAGACTCGGGGGTGATGGGCCCCCACCGCCATCTTCCCCAGCGCGGTCCCTGGACCATTAGCGAGTGCAGTGGGCTGTCCGCGCCCGGCCCCACGGGGCTCATACGGGGCCATCCTGGGACCCTGCTGTGGGCCAAGAGGGGGGTTAGGGTCAGTCTCTGGGCCTGGGCCCCACCACTGACCACCCAGAGGACACTTGGGGTCTCCTGAGATCCGCGAGGACCCCCCTCTCAGACCCGGGGAGGATCCCCCTCTCAGACCCGGGGAGGACCTCCCTCTCAGACCCGGGGAGGACCCCCCTCTCAGACCAGGGGAGGACCCCCCCCTCTCAGACCCGGGGAGGACCCCCCCTCTCAGACCCGGGGAGGATCCCCCTCTCAGACCCGGGGAGGATCCCCCCTCTCAGACCCAGGGAGGACCCCCCTCTCAGACCCGGGGAGGACCCCCCTCTCAGACCTGGGAGGACCCCCCTCTCAGACTCGGGGAGGACCCACCTCTCAGACTCGGGGAGGACCCACCTCTCAGACCCGGGGAGGACCCACCTCCTCAGACACAGGGAGGACCCACCTCTCAGACCCAGGAGGACCCACCTCTCAGACCCAGGGAGGACTCACCTCTCAGACACAGGGAGGACCCACCTCTCAGACCTGGGAGGACCCCCCTCTCAGACCTGGGAGGACCTACCTCTTAGACCTGGGAGGACTACCTCTCAAACCCGGGAGGATCCCACCTCCTCAGAACCAGGGAGGACCTACCTCTCAGACCTGGGAGGACCCACCTCCTCAGACCCAGGGAGGACCTACATCTCAGACCTGGGAGGACTACCTCTCAGACCCGGGAGGACCCCACCTCCTCAGAACCAAGGAGGACCCACCTCTCAGACCTGGGAGGACCACCTCTCAGACCCGGGGAGGACTCACCTCTCAGGTTTGGGGAGGACTCCCCTCTCAGACTAGGGAGGACCACCTCTCAGACTTGGGGAGGACCACCTCTCAGACCCGGGATGACCCACCTCTCAGACCCAGGGAGGACCCATGTCCTCAGACCTTGGGGCAGGAGGGGCCGCGCTGGCCTTCTGTGCCCATTGGGCACCCCCATCCCACCAGGAGGGAGCCTGGCTTGGAAAATCCCCACCCTCAGGGCCTCTCGGGGGCAGGTCCGGGATGAAGGCCCACGAGCCGGGCTCGTCCTTGGGTTCCCGGGGGCTGGGTGCCAGCGTGTGGAGCCAGCCCAGGGACCTGGCACGTGGTCCTGTCCTGGCTTTGCTGGGTCCGGTTCCCCGATCTGTGTTCCCGCCGGCTCAGCCTCACACCGGGCCTCCCCCGGGTGCCAGGCCCTGCGGGAAGACAGACTCCAGGCTGGCCGTGGGCGGGCACAGCAGGAGGGGACGGGGGCTCCTGGGCACCTGGGTCCCTGACGTCCTTGGGGGGTGGGGACCCTCTTCGGGCCTCGGCCCTTGGCTGTGGCTGGGCGGCACATCCCAGACGCCTGAGTGGGGGGTGGCGTCAGAGCAGTGCTAGGGAAGGCCTGGTGCAAGCAAGTGCCACCAACTGTGTACAGGAGCCCATCCCAGCAGCAGGGAGGTCAGGGGAAGGGGCCTGGCGCCCCGGCCTGGAATCTGCACCCTGTGGAGGGGGGAAGTCTTTCCCGCCCAGCCCGGCACACGGCGCTGCGTCGGAATTGGGGTCCCCCGTGCTCCGGGCTCGCTCCCGCCTTGCCAAGGCTGGAAACTAAGCTCAGGAGCCCGCCTGTTTTGGGGAATGCAGGGTGGGAAGGGGGCATCCCCTGACCTCTGCTGCACCACCAGCTTTGGGGTGGGTGGGTGGGGTCCGCCTGTGCCCCCCAGGCTGGCCGCAAGGACGGGGGGCACCAGTGGTCGCACGTGTGGGGCTGGTACGAGCTCAGACGCCACACGGTTCCTCGAGGTGTCTCCAGACAACCGAGGGGGGGGACTGCGCTCGGTGGGGGGGGCACAGCCATCCTGGCCGGACCCCCCGAGTGAGAGCTGGCAGCCGCCCCTCCCTCGGCCCCCAGCCTGGGTGCCCACGCAGGCCCAGGAAGAGCCGCAGACGACACTCCCCATGGCAAGCCAGTTCCCCCAGATTCCGGCGGGCGTGCTCCGGCCAGGCGGGGGCTCCCCGAGTTCCAATTACATGTAATTCCAGAGACAGGCTCAGCCCGGGGAGGGAGGGGATTAGACGGGCCAGGACCTCTGGCAGAGCTCAACGAGCCGCCCACGGGGGTCGGCGTGGCCTCCCGGACCCCACGGGAGCCCACGGCCTCCCTGTCCTCGGGGGGCGTCTTGCTGGGGTGCAGGTGGCTGCCCTGGCCCCAACCCAGGCCTGGGTGCCTGGTCCGGGGGGGAGTGGGGAGCTGGTACCCCGGGACTGACATGAGCCTGAGCAGGCCTGGGGGGCCGTGGCTGTCTTAGCCCACATTGCTTGGAAAGGGAGACGGCCACAAACATGGGTGGGGGCCCCGCAAACACGGGTGGGGGCCCCCCAGGAGCAACTCATCTGCTGCACACACCGGCTGGGGTCTGGGGGTCATGAGGGGGGCGTTACAGAGCCTGGCAGGACATGCTTTAGGCTGGACGCCCCTCTCCTGGCCCTGCAGGGCCTGGTCCCGCTAGGAGCTGGGAGAGACCGGAGCTCCCCGTTGGGCGTGTGTTAGGTTAGGGGGCTGCCGAGAGTTTACCTGGGGAGCTGTAAAGGGATAAACCTCAGATAACCTGAGTCAATATTTCCCCACAGCTGTTTTCTAGATAATCTGGCCAACGCCCCACCCACCCCTTCCCCTCCCCGCCCTCCCGCTGGGGCATAAAAGGCCTGGACCCCTGCCCCGGGGTGCAACCCGCACAGCCCTCGCGAGCCACCATGGGGCTGCCCCTGGCCCGCCTGGTGGCCGTCTGCCTGGCCCTGTCTGTGGCCGGCGGCTCGGAGCCCCAGAAAGGTGAGAGGCCAGGCAGGGGAGGGCAGAGTGTTGCAGCCCCCACCCGTGGGGACTCGGGTGCAGGGGGCGAGAATGGGTCTTTGGTTCCCCATCCCCTGGGGGCCGAGTGGGGTCCGGAGCCCAGTGCCAGGTGGAAGCAGCAGCTGGGTCACTCTCTTCGGCTATGGGGGGGACATGGGTGGGCAGGACCCTCCGCAGGCCCCAGTCCCAGGGACCCTTGGATGGCCAAGGCCAACACGGCCCCTTCTGGAGAGCCCACCTGGTGGAGGCCACCACTGCCACCAAAGAGTGAGGACAGAGGACAGGAGACCCCCACTCCCCAGGGCGGGAGAGACCCCATTCCACAGGGCCCAGTGCAAAGCCAGGGACGGGGTGTCAGGGGATCTGAGTGCAAAGCCAGGGACGGAGTCTTGGGGGGTCTGAGTGCAAAGCCAGGGACGGGGTGTCGGGGGTCCGAGTGCAAAGCCAGGGACGGGGTGTCTTGGGCATCTGAGTGCAAAGCCAGGGACAGGGTGTGTGTGGGGGGTCTGAGTGCAAAGCCAGGGACGGGGTGTCAGGGGGTCCGAGTGCAAAGCCAGGGACGGGGTGTTGAGGGTCTGAATGCAAAGCCAGTTACGGGGTGTCAGGGTGCCTGGCCCCGGGGATGGACATGGTGGGTGGGGGCAGCCTCCGAGGGTCGGGCCCTGTCCTGCCGGACTCGGGGAGGCCACAGGGGGCCGAGTGCAGCGTGGCAGCCCCTCCGAGGGCAGCGGCAGGGGCAGGGGACACTGAGCCTGTCTCCGCTACCCCACCAGCGGGCCGGAGCCGGAACCACGGCCGCACCGTCTGCAGCACCTGGGGCGACTTCCACTACAAGACCTTCGATGGCACAGTCTTCCGCTTCCCGGGCCTCTGCGACTACAACTTCGCCTCCGACTGCCGGGACTCCTACAAGGAGTTCTCCGTGCACCTCAAGCGGGCCCCGGCCCAGGGGGGGGGCCTCCCGCAGATCCAGTCCGTGCTGCTGACCCTCCGGGACGACACCGTCTACCTCACGCGCCAGCTGGCCGTGGTCAACGGCGCCCTGTGAGTGCGGCCCCTCCCACATCCCGGTGCCTGGCGCCACGGCAGCTCTCACGGGCAAGCGTGACCCGCCCGGCCCCTCGAGACCCCCTTCTGCCCAGCACGCTGGGGAGAGCCTTGCGCTCTGAGTGCAGGTCACTAATTCATTCAACAAACACCTGGGAGGCGAGGGGGGGGGGCTGGACCGGTCCTGGGAGTCCTTTGCAGCCCCTGGCCGCCTGGGCACCACTCCCCTGGCTAGAGTTACCTGCGGACCTATTGTTCCCCGATTGTCTCCGAACAATGAGGCCCAATAAGCGCATTCCTGTCCCACCTGTGGGACTCGCCCTTTTCCTGCCCAGGGGGGTTCTATTTCCCACCCTGGGGGCTCCAGCCCTGGGAAGCAGGTGGCCATGGGGGTAACCACAGGTCCTGGGTCCTGGGGGGCATGGGGCAGAGTTGGAGACCCGTGGGGGGGCCCTCGCTCAGAGGGTCCGGACGCAGCTGGGGGGTCCAGCCCTCTCCTCCCCCAGACCTAGCACCCAGCAGCACCCCAGGGTAGGAGACGGAGGGGACAGGTGCTCCCTGCCCAGGCCCGTGTGCCCCACCCCCACCCCGCATCTGCAGCCCCAGGTGGGAGCTGGCCCGGCCCTGCTGGTGTACCCAGCTGGGGCCTCCCCCTACCGCACACGAGGCACACAGGTGTACATGTGAGGCACACGCGGTGCACACATGATGCCCACGCAGCCCCAGAGCCCCCCAGGCAGCGGGACCCCAGGGAGGGCGGGCGGGCAGGCTGGGCGGGCTGAGTGGGCCCTGGTGGTGCCCTGAGAGACCCCGGTATCCCCAGGGTCGGCGCCCCGCACTACAGCCCCGGGCTGCTTATCGAGAGGAATGACGCCTACACCAAGGTCTACTCCCGCGCCGGGCTGGCCCTCATGTGGGACCGTGAGGACTCGCTCATGGTGGGTGCCGGCAGCAAGGGGCCCTGGGGCGGGGCTTCCCTGGGTGGGCGGGGCCTCCCCGGGGTGGGCGTGGTGGGGCGGGGCCTCCCCGGGGTGGGCGGGGCCTCCACCGGGTGGGCGGGGATGGGGCGGGGTCTCCCCAGGGTGGGCGGGGATGGAGCGGAGACCCAGCAGCCTGGGTCGCCGGTCAGTAGCTTGCTCGGTCCTGGGTGGGGACCCCACCGTGACCCCTGCCAGGCCAGTCTCTGGGCCCCACCCGGCTCCAGCCCAAACAAGGGGCGAGTTTCTGCACGGGAGGGGCGTCCCGGCGGTGGCCCTGCACCCTGGGCCTGACCAGGCCAGCTCACCCTCCCTCTCCCCCGTCCCCCTGCGCGCAGCTGGAGCTGGACAGCAAGTTCCAGAACCACACCTGCGGCCTCTGCGGGGACTTCAACGGCCTGCAGACCTACTCGGAGTTCCAATCGGACGGTGAGGCTGGCCGGCTCCGGGCTGGGCGTGGCGGGGCGGCCGCGGCTCCAGGCCCGGCTGACAGGCGGTGCCCCTCCCCCCTCCCCTGCAGGCGTGCTCTTCAGCGCCCTGGAGTTCGGGAACATGCAGAAGGTCAACAAGCCGGAGGAGCAGTGCGAGGACCCCGAGGAGGAGGAGGAGGCGGCGTCCGAGTCCTGCTCCGAGCACGTGAGTCTCAGTCCCGCGGCCACTTCCGGGGGGGGTGGGGAGCGAGGGGCGCGAGCAGCCCGCCCACCGGCCTCTGTCCCCAGCGCGCCGAGTGCGAGAGGCTGCTGACCGCCGAGGCCTTCGAGGCCTGCCAGGACCTGGTGCCCCGCGAGCTGTACGTGCGCGCCTGCATGCAAGACCGCTGCCAGTGCCCCTCGGGAGACGGCTGCGTCTGCAGCACCGTGGCCGAGTTCTCGCGCCAGTGCTCCCACGCCGGCGGCCGGCCCGGGAACTGGAGGACCCCCGCGCTGTGCCGTAAGCGCCGGCCCCGCGGGTGGGGGCCTTGGGGAGCCCCCCCCCCACACACACACACACACTTGCACCCGGGCGGGCCCGCCTCACCCGCTGCCGTTGCCTTCCAGCCAAGAGCTGCCCCGGCAACATGGTTTACCTGGAGAGCGGCTCGCCCTGCATGGACAGCTGCTCACACCTGGAGGTCAGCAGCCTGTGCGAGGAACACCGCATGGACGGCTGCTTCTGCCCCGAAGGTGCGCGCTGGGGCCGGCGGGAGGAGGGGCCGCCCTCCCTGGCCTGTGCGGTGGACAGGCCGAGCAGCAAGGGGCCTGAGGGGCTCACCTGCACCGACCGAGGGGCGGCTTTGCCGGGCGGTGGGGCAGCGACAGCACAGGAAGCCCCCCTTCCCGCTCTCGGGCCCCCCACCGGCCCCGGGTGCAGGTCCCCATGGACGGGACGAGGCCATGGCCCTCCCCCAGCGGTGGCTTCAGGGAAGGCTGAGAAGGGGGCAGCCTTCCTGGTCATCACCTGCGCCCAACCTGAGACCAGTGGGCACCCCAGGGGTCACCCAGAGGGTCAGAGGTGCCTGCAGGCGGAGGGCCAGCCGGTGAGACTCATGCCGCACCCCTGCCCCTCCACCCCCCCAGGCACCGTGTACGACGACATCACGGGCGGCGGCTGCATCCCCGCCAGCCAGTGCCACTGCCGGCTGCACGGCCGTCAGTACGCGCCCGGCCAGGAGATCGCCAACGACTGCGAGCAGTGGTGAGGCTCGCGCCCGGGGCTGGGGGGGCGGGCACAGGCCGTGCAGGCCGGCGCAGCGGCCCAGCGCTGACCCCGCGCTCCCCACCCCTCCCCGCCCCCCAGTGTCTGCAGCGCCGGCCGCTGGGAGTGCGAGGAGCTGCCCTGCCCGGGGACCTGCGCTCTGGAGGGCGGCGCCCACATCACCACCTTCGACGGGAAGAAGTTCACCTTCCACGGGGACTGCTACTACGTCCTGGCCAAGGTGCGCTGGCCGGGGGCCGGGGCGTGGGGCCGTGGCCGCCGTCCGTCCGCTGGGGACTGTCCCTGGAGATGGTGCTGTCTTGGGCTGGAGTCTGGGAGGTGGCTTCTCCCCTCTGAGCCACCACCGCTGGAGCCGCCAACCCGGCCCCCTGGTCCCTGCAACGCCGCCCCCTCCCCATGCAGGACGACCGCAACGGCTCCTACGCCCTCCTGGGCGAGCTGGCGCCCTGCGGCTCCACGGACACGCAGACCTGCCTGAAGACGGTGCTGCTGCTGGCCGACAACAAGAAGAACGTGAGTCCCTCCCCACCCCCGGCCCCAGTGCGCCACCCCCCCGGGGGGACCCCCCCACGGCCCCCGAGGCCCACGCAGCCCACCGTCCCCGCAGGTGGTGGCCTTCCGGTCCGACGGCAGCGTGATGCTCAACGAGCTGGAGATGCAGCTGCCCCACGTAGCTGGTGAGTCCCGCCCGCCCGCCCGTCCCCTGGACCCGGCCGCCTGGAGAGGCTGGTGGGTGGGCCGGGGAGGGGCCCTGTGGCGTCCGGCAGACCCGCTGTCCTCCAGCCTCTGCTGGGGCGGGGGACACAGTGGAGGGTGTCCCTCCTGCCGCAGGGACTTGGAAGCTCACAGTGCCTCCCTCCCTGTGCTCCCCCCGTCCCCCCTGCAGCGAGCTTCTCCGTGCTCCGCCCCTCCTCCCAGCACCTGGTGGTGAGCACGGCCTTCGGCCTGCGGCTGCAGGTGCAGCTGGCCCCAGTCATGCAGCTCTTCGTGACGCTGGACCAGGCCGCCCAGGGCCAGGTGCAGGGTGAGTGCCCCCCTTCTCCCCACCTGCCGCCACCAGGAGCTACCCCGCCTGCCCGCCCGGCTCCTCCCCAGCCCTGTCCTGCTCCCCGCAGGCCTCTGCGGGAACTTCAACGGCCTGGAGAGTGACGACTTCCAGACGGCCAGCGGGCTGGTGGAGGCCACCGGGGCCGGCTTCGCCAACTCCTGGAAGGCCCAGTCCAGCTGCCAGGACAAGCAGGACTCGCTGGACGACCCGTGCGCCCTCAGCGTGGAGAGTGGTGAGGCTGGGGCTGCCTGGCGGACGCGGGTGTGGGTCAGGGTGGGGCCGGGGCAGCCTCCACGCGGGGCCCACCTGCCGTTCCTGCCGAGCGGCGGGTTTATGGTGGCCCACGGTGGCAGCCCGCCAGGTGACCTGGCAGAGGAGCAGGGCCATTAATTGCTGTGTGGTGGCCAGGTGCCACGGCCGTGTGCCCCCCTCTTGCCCCAGCACACATCACCCCGGGATGCCAGGCCCCTTGGGGTGGAGAGTGGGAGGCGGGGGGGCCCTGAAGCTGGGGTGTGGGGGGCCCATCTTGCTTGAAGCTGCCGGGAGATTTGCCCGGGCTTGGGCCAGACCGAGGGGACGACGTCTGCTCCAGCCTGGGCCGCGGGGAGGCCAGACCCAGGGACGTTGGGGGACCCAGCCCGGCTGAGGCTCTGCCCCCACCCGCAGCCAACTACGCCGAGCACTGGTGCTCCCTCCTGAAGAAGAAGGAGACCCCCTTCGGCAGGTGCCACTCGGCCGTGGACCCCGCCGAGTACTACAAGGTGGGTGGGGCCCCACCTGCCCGGGCCTGGCGGGGTCCCCAGAGCCATCAGGGCGTCCCTGGAGCCCTGGCTGAGCCTGCCGGTAGCTGAGCGTGTGTGTGCATGCGTGTGAGTGCGTGTGCACGTGTGCACACATGTCTGTGAGTGCCGGCACAGGTGCACGTGCGCGAGCGTACCTTGCGCTCACGGGGGTGCAGGGGCCGAGTGCGGCCTCCGCGCTTCACCGCCTGCGCTTTCTCTGCCCCCAGAGGTGCAAATACGACACGTGCAACTGCCAGAACAACGAGGACTGCATGTGCGCGGCCCTGTCCTCCTACGCACATGCCTGTGCTGCCAAGGGCGTCACGCTGTGGGGCTGGAGGGACAGCGTCTGCAGTGAGTGCCGCTGCTCGCCGAGACCGGGGCCGGGCGTCCAGGCTGGGGACCCACCTGGCCGTGGGTGGTGCCGGGGAGGGTCCGATCGGAGCCGGGGGTCCCAGCTCACCTCCTCGCCTGGCCCCTGGGCCCTTCCGGGCAGAGTGGGGGCTCTGGGGCAGCCTACTGGGGGGCAGAAGCCGGGGTCAGGCCCCTCCCGCCCCTCACGCCGGCCCCCGTCTTTGCCGCCCGCAGACAAGGACGTGGGCTCCTGCCCCAGCTCGCAGCTCTTCCTGTACAACCTGACCACCTGCCAGCAGACCTGCCGCTCGCTCTCCGAGCCCGACGCCCACTGCCTGCAGGGCTTCGCGCCCGTGGACGGCTGCGGCTGCCCCGACCACACCTTCCTGGACGAGAAGGGCCGCTGCGTGTCCCTGGCCAAGTGCTCCTGCTACCACCGCGGCCTCTACCTGGAGGCCGGGGACGTGGTTGTGCGGCAGGAGGAGCGATGGTGAGTGCCGCGGCCCGGGGACGAGATTCTGAGTCTTTCCCCGGCCAGAGACGTTGTGGGGGGGGGATGGTTCTGAGCATGGCCAGGCTCATGCTGGCCCTGGGCAGTGGGGCTTCCCGTGGCAGCTGCTCTGCACAGGGTCGGAGCCCGTGCCCGGCTCACCACCCGCCTCCCCCCACAGCGTCTGCCGGAACGGGAGGCTGCACTGTGCGCAGGTCAAGCTACTCGGACAGAGTGAGTGGATGCCACCCCCTGCTTGGCCGTGTGCTCAGGCCTGCTCCCCCTGCCACCGGCCTGAGCCCCCCACCAACTGCCTGAGACCCCACTGCCTGCCTGAGTCCCCCACTGCCTGCCTAAGCCCCCACCAACTGCCTGAGCCCCCCACCACCTGCCTGAGCCCCCCACCAATTGCCTGAGTCCCTCACCACCTGCCTGAGCCCCCCACCAACTGCCTGAGCCCACACTGCCTGCTTGAGCCCCCACCAATTGCCTCCCCCCAATTGCCTGAGCCCCCCACCAACTGCCTGAGCCCCCACCAATTGCCTGAGCCCCCCACCAACTGCCTGAGCCCCCACTGCCTGCTTGAGCCCCCACTGCCTGCCTGAGCCCCCCACCAACTGGCTGAGCCCCCACTGCCTGCTTGAGCCCCCACCGTCTGCCTGAGCCCCCACCAATTGCCTGAGCCCCCCACCGCCTGTCTGAGCCCCCCACCAACCACCACTTGAGCTCAGACAGCCCCTCCGCCCTGCAGGCTGCAAGGCCCCCAAGATCCAGATCGACTGCAACAATCTGACTGCCCTGGCCGTCACCAAGCCCCGCCCCATCAGCTGCCAGACGCTGGCTGCCGGCTATGTGCGTGTGCGGGGCTGCTGGGGGCGGGCGGGGGTCCCTGGCTGGCTGGGGGTGTCATGAAGGGTGCAGGCTGTCATGCTGCGTCCCCCACCTGGGTGCCTGGGTGCCGACTCCTGTGGACGCCCCCTGTCCCTGGGAGGGACGAGGAGGCCTGTGGGCCTGCCGGGCATGGGACCAGGACCCCTCACTGCCCTGCCCCCGCTGTCCTCAGTACCACACCGAGTGCATCAGTGGCTGTGTGTGCCCCGAGGGGCTGATGGACGATGGCCGGGGCGGCTGCGTGGTGGAGGAGGACTGCCCGTGCGTCCACAACACAGACGTGTACTCTCCCGGGGACAAGATCAAGGTGGACTGCAACAGCTGGTAAGCTGGCCCGGCGGCCAAGCAGGTGCCTGTCCTGTGGGGCCTGCTGGGTCCTGTGGGGTCACGCGGGGGCCCACGACGGCTGGGTGGTCTTCCGTGTCTGCACCCAAGGTGGGTGCATTTGGTGCAGCTTACGGGGCCGGGGTGTGGGCCGCCTGGGAAGCCGTCACGTGGGGTGCCCAGGGTCTCGCCCAGGCCTTGTTGGAGCCACGGTGGGGGGTGGGGCCTGGCCCCCAGGTCCCTTCAGGCTCCTCTCCTGTCCTCAGCACCTGCCGGAAAGGACGCTGGGTGTGCACCCAGTCCGTGTGTCACGGCACCTGCTCCATCTATGGCAGCGGCCACTACATCACCTTCGACGGGAAGCACTATGACTTTGACGGACACTGCTCCTACGTGGCTGTCCAGGTGGGGCTGCGGACACTGCCCAGTCCGCCCCTGAGTGTGGTCCTAATGGGTTGGGGGGGCACAGTGACACCCCCCAGGGCTGTGATGCTCCCGTGGGTGCCTGGGGAGGGTGGGGTTGACAGACCAGCTGTGGGGACTAAGGGATGTGGGGAGGAGCTAAGACCGGTCAAGAGGGCCTGGGGCCGGGCAGCTGCCCACACGGGCGCTCTAACCCCAAGTCCCTTTGCCCAGGGCCACCGTCCCCAGCCAAGAGAGGAGGGGCTGAGGCCGGTGGGGTCTGAGTCAAGGCTCAGCTCCCCAGACTGGGGCGGGCGGGCCAGGGTCTGTGTGCTCCGGGGTCCTGGCCAGCTGGGCTGACACCGGTCTGTCCTCCAGGACTATTGCGGCCGGAACTCCACCCTGGGCTCCTTCAGCATCATCACCGAGAATGTCCCCTGTGGCACCACGGGTGTCACCTGCTCCAAGGCCATCAAGATCTTCTTGGGGGTGAGTGCTGCGGGCCCCTGGGGACGCCGGAGCCCTCGGGGACCCTGGGGCCTGCTGGTGACCGGCCCTCTCCTCTGGGCAGAGGACAGAGCTGAAGCTGGAAGACAAGCACCGCGCGGTGATCCAGCGCGACGTGGGCCACCACGTGTCCTACACCACGCGGGAGGTGGGCCAGTACCTGGTGGTCGAGGCCAGCATTGGCGTCATCGTCATCTGGGACAAGAAGACCACCGTCTTTGTCAAGCTGGCTCCGTCCTACAAGGTGGGCCGCCCCCGCCCGCCCCCGCCCCCGTCCCGCCACCCCTGCTCCGCGCTGAGCCCGCCCGTCCCTCGCAGGGCACCGTGTGCGGGCTGTGCGGGAACTTCGACCACCGCTCCAGCAACGACTTCACCACGCGGGACCACATGGTGGTCAGCAGCGAGCTGGACTTCGGGAACAGCTGGAAAGAGGCCTCCACCTGCCCGGACGTGAGCACCATCCCCGAGCCCTGCAGCCTGAACCCGCACCGCCGCGCCTGGGCCGAGAAGCAGTGCAGCATCATCAAGAGCAGCGTGTTCAGCATCTGCCACAGCAAGGTGGGCTGTGGGCGGGGCTGTGGGCGGGGCTGTGGGCGGGGCTGTGGGCGGGGCGGGGGCGTGGCCGGCCGTAGGCAGAGCCGGGCTGTGGGCGGAGCGTGGGCGGGACCGGCTGTAGCAGAGTGGTGGGCGGGGCCGGCGGTAGGCAGAGCCGGCTGTGGGCGGAGCGTGGGCGGGACCGGCTGTAGCAGAGTGGTGGGCGGGGCCGACTGTAGGCAGAGCTGGGCTGTGGGCGGGGACGGTGGGCAGGGCCAGTTGTAATCAGAGCAGAGTTGTGGGTGGGGCCACGGAATGCTAATGAGGAGGGCGTGGCAACGGGCGGAGTCGGGCGGGAGGAGGGCTGCTTCTCCCAGGGCTCTGTGTGCACCTTGCAAGCGCCTTCCAGGTTTGGCTGTGTCCTATGTCTGGTGGACAGGTGACCATATGACCAGCCCTTCCTCTGAGACTCCTGGCGGGACCTCTAGGCTCCCGATACCTTCCTGGGCTCACAGACTCACCTGGGAGGGAGGAAGGACACACCGCCCGTTAGGGCAGTGGGGGAGGGGCGGGTTTGGGGATCGTCACCCTACAGCTGAGGACCGCGGGGTGACGGGTCTGTACCGCCACGGTCGTCCAGACGTCTCCGCTGGGCGTACCGCGTGACGCGCCCGTCCCAGGAGCAGGGCCAGCCTCCGGGTCCTGACGTCCTGGCCTCGTGAAGGCAGCAGGGGCCGCGGCGCACTGACGTCTCCCCCACCAGGTGGACCCCAAGCCCTTCTACGAGGCCTGCGTGCACGACTCGTGCTCCTGCGACACGGGCGGCGACTGCGAGTGCTTCTGCTCTGCCGTGGCCTCCTACGCCCAGGAGTGCACCAAGGAGGAGGCCTGCGTGTTCTGGAGGACGCCGGACCTGTGCCGTGAGTGCCGCCTGCTCTGGGCTCAGGGGGCGGGGGGCTGGTCTGCGGCGGGCTGGCGACACCCCTGCCCCCACAGCATGCACCTGTCCTGCCCATCGTCCAGCCCCTCCCCCACCCCCTGGCATCCTCCTTTGGCGCCACCCAGAGCCCTGGGCTGGCAGGAGTGAGCCTGATGCGCCCCAGCCCCCCCACCCAGCCTTCCTCTCCCCGTGGCGCCCACCTGCGCCCTCCCGAGTCTGACCCGCCCCCGTCTGGCCCCCAGCCGTGTTCTGCGACTACTACAACCCCCGGCACGAGTGCGAGTGGCACTACGAGCCGTGCGGCAACCGCAGCTTCGAGACCTGCCGGACGCTCAACGGCATCCACTCCAACATCTCCGTGTCCTACCTGGAGGGTGAGCAGGCGCCAGCGGCCAGGGGGGCCACGGCCTACTAAGGGGGAGGCGGCTGGCTGGCCCGGCCCGCGTGGGGTGGAAGGCGGCGTGGTCTGGGACACCCGGAGAGATGTCCCCGATGGTCTGGGGGGTGGCTTGGCTCACCTTGTCACAGAATCAGGGAGGAAGCAGGTTGAGACATCAGGAGTTGGGGTGCTGTGGGCTGCGTGGGGCCAGGCGGGGGGCGTGGCAGGCACAAGTCTGGGGGTGCTCTGTGGGCGCTGGCGTCTGAGCTGGGAATTCGTGCCTGGAAGGAGCAAGGTGTGGGAAGGGGTGCCGTGCTGTGCTACAGACCTGGGCTGGGCGTGGCTGGGGCTGGGCGGGGCCAGTGGGGCTGGGCGTGGCTGGGGCTGGGCGGGGCCAGTGGGCTGGGCGGGGCAGGCGGGCGGGGCCATGTGAGGCTGGGCCGGGCTGTGTGGGGCCCAGAGACCCCTGGCTGGAGAACCCTGGGAGGAGGGGCGAGGGGTGGGTCTGCAGGACGGGGGTCCTCTGTGGGGGTCCCAGCCCCGTGTCTGTGCCCACAGGCTGCTACCCGCGATGCCCTAAGGACAGGCCCATCTTTGACGAGGACCTGAAGAAGTGTGTCTCCGAGGACCAGTGCGGCTGCTACGTGGAAGACACGCGCTACCTGCCCGGCGAGTCCGTTCCCACCGACGACATCTGCGAGTCTTGGTACCTGAGCCCGCGTGGCGGGGGCCTGGGGGAGGTGTGCCCACAGGCGCATGTCAGCACACGTGTGGACGCAGCCCCCGTACACGCGCACAAGCACACGCTGCACACGTGCTCACGCGCACGGAGGCAGGCGTGGAGGCACGCACACAGGCACACATGCACACGCCCACGCCCGCAGGAGCCTCGCCACAGGGGCGTGGGAGTCCTCCCCTCTCCTCCTGTCCTGGCTGGCTGGTGTTTCCCGCCCGGCCTTGCTCCCTTCCTGCCCACAGCTGGAACCTGGGGCTGGGGCTCCTTGGGCGCTGGCTTATGGGGCACTGCCGGGTCCACACTGGCGGGGGTTAAGCTGGGGTCTGTGCAGGGAGGGGAGGCCTGGCGGGAAGGCGCCGGCAGCCGTGGTCTTTGCCTTGCAGTGTGTGCACCAACTCTTCTCACGTGGTCTGCCAGCCCGAGGAAGGTAAAGCCCCTGACCGGGAAGCCGGGGCTTGGACCGGGGCTGGCCTTTCTCCCAGCGGGTGCCCGTGGGCCCCCCGACACCGGGCTGCCCTCGGAGCTCACGTGGCACATTTGCCTCTTGTGGAGAGGGGGTCCCCTGTGGGCCAGCGCCTGCTCTGATGGGGGGCTGCCCCGTTTCTGGTGGGTGGGCCCTGGCTAAGGCGTTTGTCTGACAGCCCCTGGATGCAACTGGGGTGTGCCCAGCTGTGACCGCCTCTCGCCCCCTCTCACCCCAGGGAAGATTTTCAACATGACCCAGGATGGTGCCTTCTGCTACTGGGAGACCTGTGGGCCCAACGGGACGGTGGACAAGCACTTCAACGTCTGCTTGTCAACCACGACTCGCCCGTCCACCCCCACGGCCCCCACCTCGACCACCCCCGGGAGCAGCACAAGCCTCACCACCACGACCATCAGCACCCCTGCCACCCCGACCCCCAGCACAGGTGAGCCCCTGCCGCCTCCCTGACACCCTGGGGCCTGGCCCTGCCCGGCACCCGGCCCATCTAGGGGGTGGGCCCGCCGGGCATTGCTCTGACGTGGCCCCGACTCCCTGGCCTCGTGAGCTGAGATGGCCTCATCACGTCCACATCCCCAAGCCCAGACCACGGCGGAAGGGTGACTTGGGGACATTTCCGACAACCAGCAGGAAAATATCCCTCGGGGTCAGGGAAGCGGGGGAAGTTTCCTCAAGTGCCTCTGCATCCGTTCTGGTTGAAACCGCAGCTCCCGTCATCCCATACACTGCCAGGGGTGTGACAGCCACAGGGAAAAAGACACTTCTAAAAATTCAAAACAAGGCAGGGCGAGGTGGCTCACGCCTGTAATCCTAGCACTCTGGGAGGCCGAGGCGGGCGGATTGCTCCAGGTCAGGAGTCTGAAACCAGTCTCTACTATAAATAGAAAGAAATTAATTGGCCAACTAATATATATAGAAAAAATTAGGCGGGCATGGTGGCGCATGCCTGTGGTCCCAGCTACTCGGGAGGCTGAGGCAGGAGGATTGCTTGAACCCAGGAGTCTGAGGTTGCTGTGAGCTAGGCTGACGCCACGGCACTCACTCTAGCCTGGGCAACAAAGCGAGACTCTGTCTCAAATAAATAAATAAAATAAAAATTCAAAAAAGACTTTCGGAAATCTCGGCACAGGCAATAACGTCCTCTCTTTCCCCATCTCTTCCTTGCAGTGTCACCAACGACTCAGAGTAAGTGACGTGGACGGCATCTTACACTGACACTCAGCAGCAGGGTCCCAGGTGTCCCCGGGGGGCCCCCTCAGCAGGTGGACGTGAGGGGCAGGACACACCTGTCCCGGGACCAATGGCAGGTGTATTCCGTGGCTGTGCAGGGTGTGCTGAGGCGCTGGTGAGGCGGGACTGGCACAGCTGTGGTGGCTTCCTCGGGGGGACGGGTGACCCTTTTGTTCCTTAGGTTTTTGACACAAATATTTGAGAATAGCTGAGGGAGGGGCGCTGGGCCGGAGCTTGGAGATGCAGAGTGACGCGCCTGGGGCTGGCCTTGCGTAGCCCCTCCTCTCTGCTCGTTTCTTTCAGTTGCAAGATGAGCCTGGCAGTGGGGTCCAGCCCTGGACTCTGGCCCTACAGTCTGGTCCCAGCAATGACAGGGAAAGGAGGGGCTGGGGCTGGGGGACGGCCACAGAGGCCACTGAGTCCTCTGGGTCACGGTGGCCTCCTGGAGGTTCCTCCCTCGAGGCACGGTGACCAATGCCGGCTCTGCTCCCCCAGACCTGTGCTGCTTCTGGTCCGACTGGATCAACGAGCACCACCCGGACAGCAGCAGTGACAGCGGTGACCGGGAGACGTTCGAGGGTGTCTGCGGGGCTCCCGAGGCCATCGAGTGCAGGTCGGCCACGGAGCCCCACCTCAGCTGGGAGGAGCTGGGCCAGAAGGTTCAGTGCGACGTCTCGCTTGGCCTCGTTTGCTACAATGAAGACCAGTTTGGAAACGGTCCATTTGGAGTCTGTTATGACTACGAGATACGTGTCAATTGCTGTGTGCCGATGGACTTTTGTCCTACGTCCACCCCAGCCATCACGACGACAACCACCACGTCCACGCCCACCCCTCCAACCAGTACCACCACCACCCCTCCAACCACTACCACCCCCATCCCTCCAACCACCACCCCCATCCCTCCAACCACACCACCCCCATCCCTCCAACCACCACCACCCCCATCCCTCCAACCACCACCCCCATCCCTCCAACTGCCACTCCCTTCCCTCCATCAAGCACCACCCACACCACGTCACCATCCTCAACAACCGTCCCCACTACCACAGAAGGGACTACCTCAGTGACAACCACTACTACGATATCCACAGCTACACCTACTCCTGAGACCACCACTCCATCCATCCCAGTGCCAACAACCACTCCATGTGTGCTTGACTGCGAATGGACCGGGTGGCTGGATTCAGGGAAACCTGACTTTTCACCATCAGGTGGAGATGTGGAATTGATTGGAGATGTCTGCGGACAAGGCTGGGCAACTAACATCTCCTGCAGAGCCACCATGTACCCCAACACTCCGATCGAAGAGCTTGGACAGAGTGTGGTGTGCAATGTCTCTGTGGGGCTACAGTGCAAAAACCAAGACCAAAAGCCTGGCGGGCCCATTCCCATGCCCTTCTGCATCAACTACGAGATGAACGTGTACTGCTGTAAGTGTGGCGGCACACCCACCTACACCACAACCACCGTCACCCCCCTCCCTACCTCCTCCACCCAGACACCTGCTACCACCACCACAGAGACACCATCCACAACACCTGGGACCACCACTGCAGCAACCACCCCTCCAACACCTGGTACCACCACCACAGCTACCCCATCTACAACACCAGGTACAACCACAGTAATCACACCGCCAACACCTGGGACCACCACCACAGCTACCCCATCTACAACACCAGGTACAACCACAGTAATCACACCGCCAACACCTGGGACCACCACCACAGCTACCCCATCCACAACACCTGGTACCACCACCCCAGGGACCCCATCCACAACACCTGGTACCACTACCACAACTACCCCATCCACAACACCTGGTACCACCACCCCAGGGACCCCATCCACAACACCTGGTACCACCACCCCAGGAACTCCATCCACAACACCTGGTACCACCACCCCATGTGACCCCAATCGCACAACCACCTGGGTACCAGCCACAC